GATTTTACAGCAAAAGCACTGTTGACACCGAAGTCAATCAAATCGCACTTTTCAATACACTGGCTCCACGAGTTCAATAATTTGGTTTGCTCTTCAACTTATCTTGAATACTTGAAAATGTATTGTTAATCGCTCGCGGAGCATTTATTAATTTTTATTTTTTTTAGCTGCAGAAAGCCAAGCCAATGTTGAGATTGAAAGATGTTTAAGCCAACTAAGAAACTTGGCAAGTGGTAAGTAAGCAAAAGATCGGAAAGAAATGAAATTTTAATAGACATTATTTTAGATTTGGCACTTTTTAATAACAAATCCCGAGAATTGTCAATCCATGTGTGATAAGCTGACATTTTCAGTTCTCGAATTCAGGCAATAAAATGGATGTTGATAAACCAGTCAGCTGCTATTAGAAGGAAATAATTTTTTTACTTTTTTAGTTTTACCCAAAGTACAAAGCAAATAATTGAGGTCTTGTTATGACAAAAAAAGGTCTTTCAAGAATACATCATCAGCCATGCAAGAATTTCCGATTTTATTTCGTTTGGAAATCTTGCCCCAAACGATCAAAACAGTTGGAAGTTGAATAGAGAAAGAGGTGAGAGCTTCTTGAATATGCGTCAGATCCCATATCTAATAAATCCGTCCCTATATCTATCTTTCTGCAAAGTTCTGCCTCATTAAGCGATATAAGTTCCAATAACATATCAAAAATTTGCCACTTTTCACAGCCGCATTAGAGAAATTTGACAACCGAGCAATCTGTCTTGGAAGTGTAATGCTTTTCCGCAGAAATATTACTTCTCTTTTATTTTAAACGAAAACTCAATTTTAACCAGTTTTTCTGGATTTATTTTTTTTTTATTTTGATCTAAAATTCGCATAATTTAATTGTATTCACTTTCCGCTGTTTTATGGTAAATTTTATCGCATGTGTGCACATTAGTTTGCGAAGCCTATAACTATGTGGTGGTATGCGAGCATATTAAAATGAAACTGTTGACCGACCAATGGCCTGAGGGTAAAAATTACTTGAACTTTATAGGATTTAGAATTTCATTTTCAAAAAAAAAAGGGAGACAAATGAATGAAAACTGAATTTTTTTAAAAAATTCCCACGTTTTTAAATGAAAAAATACAAACCAACAAGAAATATGTCACCAACTAAACTAAACTAGTTTCTTGAACAATTTGTTTTTCTTTTCTTATTTAACTCAAAATTTTTCAAACAAAACGATGATGAGTACATTTGCTCTATAATTGAAATGAAAATATCAGGTTTCTTAAGAAAATGTCATAATTCGCAAATAACAAGTGCCTTATTTGCGCTTTCCTGTATGTCCTTCAAAACAATCTCCTTTATGTGGAACAATAATACGTTTACGTTTTGAAAAGTCCCATAACCAAAAGTTTGGATTATATTAAACTTGCTGTACATATAATCGCCCAGAAATAGACACAAGGTGCATTATATAGTTTCTTGGAGTGAGACGGGAATACGATTTTATCAAATTCCACTATTGGGTTCATAAGAAAAACTTAAAACTTTTAAGGAGGACCGCGTGAAATTTCAGAGCAAAAATAGTTGAGAAAGAGGTCCGTAAGAGTTTAAAATCGGTAAAGAAAATTGATTCAAAAGTTAGTGAATATACTTCACAGGCTATTTAGAAGAAAGACGTGAGCAAAGTCAAACGTTTAACTAAAAAGTGAGCAATCAATAGAATATTTGTGGTACCCTATACTATTTGTGGTGTATTATGTTTGTGCGGATATGTACAACACCCACCTTTTATTCTACAGATACGATCGATCGTACAGATAAAATTACTTTCTGAATCGATCTTAGCTTGTCTGTCTGTCCGCCCGTTCGTCTTGTTATGTTCAACTTAGAGATTGCATTTTCTGAGAATTTTTGGTATATCGTCGAGTGTTGACCCAAGGACAAACCCTATTGAAAATTGTTCAGATCGGAGCACACTTTCGATCACATCCCATATAATGCCTAATTGCGAAAAGTCGTTAAGCGAATAACTGCACTCAAGGAAATAGTTTGAAGTTTTGATAGTTTCATCTAAACGCTAGCAGCCATTCTATCGTGCGTGTATGTAATGCTCCCACTTATCTTACGACCTATTAGTTATTAAAAATTAAAAGTTTTTGATTTAAAAATGACATAAACTTCCTTTATTCATGATTCTCAAAATTAAATAAGAAGAAGAAGTAATTACAAGTTCACTTTTAAGCCGTCCCACTAGTAAAACCAATAAATGTAACTCTTTACTAATATATCAGTCTACCATCGCTGATCTTTCCCAACATTCTAGACGTTTCCGCTTTGAAGTCGAACGTGCACATATGCTACTTCCTTTTTGTCTGTCTCTCTCTACCTAGAGTACTTCCTGGCTAACACCTATGTATAGCCGACATCCCCTATTAAAATAAGATTTCGGATATCGATGATTCACTTGAAAGTGAATTTGGTTTTCCTATTTGCTTAAACATTCTATTCTTACTTTTTTTTTTATATTCATTGGTTTATAACAATTAAGTAACGAGGCTAGCATTGATTACCTATCGATATGTGCTACTAAATCAACAACTGTATTAAATGATTAAGTAATTGGCTGTAAGCCTAACCTGTCAATTTCATTTCTATTAGTAAATTATTCATATGCTCTGATTATTAGCTTCTATTGTCATTCTCTTAAGTTCACAATCAATATTAAACAGTAGCTTAGTAGCTAAGTTGTTACAGGCCTTCTTAATAGCTGTTATAATTGTTGTTGTTCCACTTTGAATTAATCGCATTTTTCTCGCTTTTAATTATTGTTTACATAAAAAAAAAAAAAAATTATATATACATGTATATACCAATTGTCAACAGGTTTTTTTAACTCGGCTAAGTTTTTTGTTTTTTTTTTTTGTTTTTGTTTTTTTGCATTCGCCTTTTATTGAAAATTTGATCTTTATTATTTGTTTCTTCACCGTTTGCCGACGTCGTCATCGGCTACATTTTGTCAAGCGTTGACGTGTTAATTATCAGTGCAGGTAGGTTCCTTCGATGCAACTGTTTTTGTTTACCGTCTACATAAACAAGTTTATTAATATATTTTTAAGTACACATGTTTTTTTTATTTTTTTATTTTTTTTTTGTTTTCTTCATTTCGTTCGTTTTCTTTAACACTGGGGTCAGTAAAGGTGATTGAGAACAATAATCAAATGCACAACACAACTAAGAAATATTAATAAATATATATATATATATATATATATATATATATATGTATATTATTTTGTTATTCAATTAATAACAACTGTATGTATAAATATACGTAAAAATGTATGTAGCTACGTCCGTACATGAATACTAATGGATACACGCTCATGTATTGCGTAAATTAATTTTATTGTTCATTTTTTATTTAGTTTTTTTTTATTTTGTTTATTTTTTTTTTATTTTGTATTCATTCTTGATGTACATATAATTGTTGTAGAACTTTTAATTAAAATAAATACATTTTTCATATATTTTACGGACTTTGCACGCATTAGAATTACAATGCATAAGTTTTTAATTAACTTAACCCGAACTGTGACTGTCGCCATCACAGAATTGCAACCAAAATCGAATATCGATTAATGCTTGATATCTTTGAAAACAGAAATCAAATGACAAATAATTGACCTCCGCATGTATACATCAAGTTTTATTAACTCATTTTACGGATTAAGCTTTGGAATGTTCTAAAGCCACAGTTGCACGTCACAGATTGAGAGAATTTCCGAAAATCATTTAAAGGAATTTAAAGAAATTAATATGATTCTACGGCGAAAATTCCAAGGACAGGACTGCAAAGGATGCAAAAAACACAGATATTTTAACGTGAACACCTGCCGTGACAAGACATCTGGACTAATGGCGGAGGAGATTGACAAAAAGTCATTCATTGACGGCTACTGTGCAGCAAGAGGTGTTAGCCACTCTGGTTTCAATTTGATGTCATAGAGTGACGCAGCCGTCACTCATATATATCGTCCCCTTTGAGTATCAGAATAGGTTCTGTCAAGGGCGCTCGTCTTTCTTGAATTCAACGGTTTGACAGTCGGACAGTTTCTCTTATAATCTTTTTTTACAAACTTAGTGACAACGAATCAAGAACACTGTATAGATCACGTAGCTTCCCGAAGTGCAATTGTTAATGGGTAGCCACTAAGCTGGGTGGGCTTTTGCAATCTTACTATCAGGTTGTCTCTAGTGGAACGTCAACACCTTTTTGATGCCAAATCTGCAGTCGACCACGGATTTACCATTCATTGAGAAGGAAATATCGATACAATAGGAAATATTATCCTTTAAAGGCCGAGTAGCGTTACTCTGCTCGAAAAGTTTTCTGCGGATGAATTTCCGAGATTTCTCATATCAAATTGGAATAGATGAACGAATATGGCCAAATCTCCCAAACACATTGCATGCGGCTAGCAACACTGGTCATAAGAAAATTTACTTATAACTTGTTTGTCAAAATAAGGAAAAATCTATTAAAGTCCAATGATAGACCTAAACAGTTCTAAACAGTCTTTTTACATCAATTGTTTGACATATTATCGTGAGAGGAGTGACACAAGACTCGTGCTACTTCCGTTTAATTTTTAAGTATTCGAATAAAACTAAATGCCAATTCACTAGCAACAGCGTCAGACATATGCAACTAACATACATATGGTATATGTATGTATATACTTATATAGGTGTGTACATAAGACGTTTATATAAATGATCAGCCTTTAGAATTTGACTTTTAATTGACCCTCGTAAACAGAATTTTGTATATCGCATAGAATTGTTTTATGTGTGTGTGTGTGTATGTGTGTGTGCACGTTTTCATATCTTACAACGAGAAAAAATTGAAGACGAAAAAGCGACAGTGATAGATAATAAAGACAAAGAAGGTGAGAGAGAGAGAGAGAGAGAGAGATAGAGAGAGAAATAGAGAAATAAAACTTACCTTCACGTCGCATACCCATTTTGAGGCACTTTCGTAGACGGCAATATTGGCATTGGTTGCGATGATGCTGATCTATCGGGCAATTTCTGCTCCCCCGACACGAATATGTTAAATTACGGCGTACCGAACGTTTGAAAAATGATTTGCAGCCTAGAAAATTAAATAAAAATAATTACATTAATTAAATTATATAAATTAATAAACAATAAACAAGATTGCTGCAGTAATTTACTAAACACAACTTATTCACAAGTTTCTGAAACCGACCATCAACCATCAATCTAAGTGGCTTAGATTCATTTTTACAGCGCGACAGGCTTACGTACAATGACATATGATAGCGATTGCAATGTAATGTAATGTGATGTTGCTGATGTTGTTCTTTTAGTTTTTTATGTCGATGTGGTTGAATATAAAAACACTGATATTGCGCAGACTTAACATGATGTCTGTGGCAAAAAATGTGTTATCATGGAACTCACTTGAAAATGCTTCTTTTTTTTTTTCTAGAGGTAATAAAAATAAAACAATGAAAAGAAAACATTTATCTATAGCAATAACTACTAGAAAGACGACAACAACAAAAACAATAACAACGTTAACAGCAACGTTTCCTAAAACATTAAAGCGTAAGCTAGTGCAAGCAAACATCATTTGAAACAAATTCCAAACTGTGTAAAGCATGCTTGTTAGCAACAACACAATACAAGGAAAGAGGCAACAGCAACAGCAATGGCAACAACAAAACCTAATATAGCATTCACAGCTTAAACACTTCAACCGCAAAACATGTACATTTATATATATATATATATATGTATATCTTTACTAAGTATATAAATATGAAAGTTTGTATGTGTATCTGGTGTGTGTGGATTTTTTCAATGCATGTATTTTGACCCTATTTTAGTTTTAAAACAACAACAACAATAACAACAATAACCACCTATGTGAACTATAAACTGGTAAATCACCGTCTCTATGCCATGAAATGAAAATCCGTTCAGTTTTTTATTTTTTTTTTTTTGTTTCATTTAATAGTTTATCCCTTTAAATAACAACAGCAACAATAACGACAGAAATGACTTGCATTAACTTATATATATATATATATATATATATGTGTGTGTGTGTGTATGTACGTATGTATGTGTGTGTGTGTGTGTGTGTATGTGTGTTGTGTTTGGTTACTATCTCTTGTCATGCGGTTGCTGCTGATGCTGGTGCTGATGCTCAAGTTGCTTACATTGGTTGCGGTTACAGTTGCTGAGCTTGTGTCTTACTGATGATATTACTGTGCCGTACTGCCGTGTGTGTGTGCAGTGAGTGTTGTGGCTCCTCATGCTGCCATCATGTCAATGGCCATGTTACACGTTTCATGGCTTAACGCCTCCCATAAAATTACCTTTAATGGGTTTCAATTAATGTAGAGGTTTTTCTTCGTCTTTTATACTTCTTTGTTTTTCACTTATTGCTAATGTTGTTGTTGACGTTGCTATTGCTGTTGCTTTTGCTGTTATTTTCATTGTAGATCATTACAAAATCTAAGTCTAAGTCTAAGCTTAACAAAACCTTCTTTTTTAAGGGTCTCCTTGAATTTCCAATCAAGTCTTTAAAAAAAAAAAAAAAAAAAAAAAACTATATAAATAAACAAAAGAAAAAGTAAAATTTTACATAAATAGCCAAAGACGAAGCTTGAACTCGCTTCACTACGATATGAAATATTAATAAAACATATCAGGAAGCACTTGAGACCGTTTGAAATATATAGACGCAGTCGTGACGTCGTACCAAATCCATTAATGATCTATTATTAGCTTGAAAATTATTTAAGAAAAGTTCTCTTTTCAGTTACGTCAGCAGGTGTGGCGCATAGGTTAAAATCTTTCTTACTTTACGTTGAAAGCCTCCCTCCAATCTCTTTATAGTATATTTAATTTTTTTTTTTTTTTTTTTTTTTCAAGTTGTTACGAATCACTCAACAAACTTTACCTATCTCGTCCTCCACGAAAATAGTTGAGCTTGAGGTGGTGATTTTAACAAAGTAAACAAACAGTTTATTGTATGCATATGTGTTTGTGCGTTTGTGTTTATATTGCTATGTATCGTTTAGCGAGCAACAATCTTAAGTGTGTTTAATTTTATGTCGCCACGTATCTAAACATGTGTATCATGGAACTTTTGAGCTTTTTCATCGTGGCAGTGTTCCATATACCTGAGGTAGACTTTTTCTTCTTTGAAAAGGAAAAAATCGAAAAAAAAAAAATGTAAATAAAAAAAAAAAACTAAATCGTATTTACGTCATGACATGATTTTACATTAATGCTTAAGTTTCCATTAAATGGAATTAAGTACGAAAAACTCACCATGAGTTTTAGGTAATGACATCGACAATAAGCTGGTAGCGACGAGAACACCGCATTGCAACTGGGCATCAATTTAACAAAGTGACGATGTTGTCTTGGCCGTCAAGACTTGAATTTAAGTAAGAAAAAGTTTCATTTTTAAAATCCAAAGGGCGTCTTAAGTGCTCCTTGCAATCCCGATCATGTTAGAATCGATCGTTTTTACAAACAAATAACTTACTCTAAAGTATTTTTAGACTTTTACTCCAGCCGATGGGAATCAAAAATTTCCGCCTAACCTAATCTAACTGAAGGGATTTATACTTTCGCTGCCGAGGCCTTAGATAAACTATATGGAGAAAAGTGTTAAGAGGTCATTAATCGTTCAGAAAATACATTTCAATTTTCTTTATTGAACAGTTAGGATTGCCTTGAGTGGCTACCGCTGTTGTAATGGTCTTCGACTGGTTGGCTGCTGTCAGCCAACATTACATATACAATTGGTATAAATAACGCGTAGTTCAAGAATTGTTAAGAAAAAATGCTTGATATTCTCTTCCTTTTTTCGCTCTCTCTCTCTCTCTCTCTCTCTCTCTCTCTCTCTCTCTCTCTCTCAGATATCATATGGGAGAGAAAAATAGAGCGCAACAAAAAATTTTTTTCGTCCTGCTTTGAAGACGTAGCGCTCTCTGCTTGTCTCTGAAGTGATGGCCTAATAAACATCATATTCATTGAGCTCCTAAGGCAAATAAATTTATTATGATTTTTACATCCACCGCCTAGGGATAGCGGTATATTTTCTTTGGGTCCACGTGCTTGCTTTTTGATCATCATTCCTGAATCGATTTACACATGTTCTCCTATCCGTTTGTGGGTCTGTCCGTCTGTCCGTCTCTCAATCTGTGTTTCTAGTCCTGTTTACTTTAAAGACGTGAGGTATGAAAGATACGGTTACAACCAAAACTAATTTTCTTACTTGTATATATATATATGTGAATAGGATAAATTAAATCCAAGCGAAATTCAAATCGGATCACTTTGCTTGGATATTCAATATAACATTCGTAACGTTTCCGGTACGAAGCGAGAAATCGTAAGCCGATGTAAAGTAAGTAATTTTATGTATTACATTAGCGTAGAATATAGACCTTGGTTTTATTTTCTGTATTCTCCCCTTTTTCCATTCTCTTTAAATTATAATTTTTCCTTAACATCCTTATGGATGTTAGGCATATTTTACATAGGCATCATTGCCTATGTAAAAAGATCTTTTCCGGCTCTATTCTTCAACAATTAAACCATTATCGCCCATGCAAGTCATCTCAGTATGAGTCAGCGCTTTACCTTCTTCTTTGCCATCGCCCGTTCGTCTTCGAATAGAGAGCTATCGTAAATTATCCTCGGGTTCTCTGCTAGCTGTAACATTCATTCGTTCTCTCCCTGAAAATCTTGCCCGGGCCCCATTCTTTAGATAAAATTATCAAACTAACTTCTTCCTTTGCACTACGTCTTACTTGGAACATGGAACATGGCAGCGTGGCACGGGACGAATCTGATTTATTAATAGTCATTGGCTATATCTTTAGCATCCTTCACTTCCAGTTTTCATAGGCATTCGTATGTAGAGATAAGTTAACACATTTGCATCAAGAAAATAGCAAACTAAAGAATACTTGACAGAAACTACTCAAAAAAAAAAGCTACGAAAGATATGACGGAGTAAAGGAGAGAAAGAGAGAGAGGGAGAGAGAGAGAGAGAGAGAGAGAGAGAGAGACAGAGAGAGAGAGAGATCGATAAAAGCCCATTGAAATTGTTTTTTATCTTCTGCTAGGTTCTTGCCTTAAAAAACATTCAATAATTTTTCCTATAAATTATTAACTGATTTTTTTTTTTTATTTATTAACTAAAACAATATTCAAAATTTAAACCACGTGATTAAAAATTTCTCTGCAGGAACATAAATATACACACGCGCAAACAGAGAAACAGCAATAAAAAAAAAATGTATTACTACCAGAGGGAATAATAAAAAGCATTTTCCCATGCTTTACTCGAGCATTAGCAAATCTATCAACCAGACAAACGGACAGACACACAAAAAGAACAGATATACAGAGCAATTGTTGTACAGCGCGCAGCAAACGATAGCAACAACAATATTACTGCCACCTTAACCAGTTTTCTGACCATACATATACGTAAGCAAACATATGAACATACACACGAAAGCTACCTACAGAGTACGGTGTAAAGCAAAAGTTTGCTTTTCTTTTTCTTTTTCATTCAAATTTATAACAATATCGCACAATATTGAAATGCTGTACAATATATATGTATATATATATGTGTGTGTCTATAGGTGTTCGTTTGCTTGATTGTGTGTGTATATAACACATTAATATATAAGTTTGTGTGTTGAGACATACGGACAATTGTTATTAAACAATAACGTTAAACGAATTTGTGTTTCTGCAGCCGGTTAAACATGCGCGCTATTTAAAAGCACTTAAGCAGCAACAACAACAACAATCATAATCTATAAGTGCGGGTGTTGTATTGCATGTTGTTGTGAAACAACAAAATAGCCACAACAGGGTATGGAGATGGCATACATAGTTGTAAATTCCATAAAACAAAACAGGATTTGTTTGTTTTTGTTTTTGTTCTTGTTTTTTTTTTTTTTGTTGGTGAACGAACACCAACAACATAACACAAAAACGTGCAAAATTCATGGTAAGATTTTTTTTTTTTTGTTTTTCAAGTCTTTTTTTAGATTATAGTTTAGCTGAAGTTTGTTTGTGTGT